AAAAAAAAAAAAAAATAACAGGAGCTAGAGGAAAGCAGAAGTGGTAGTTACTTGGTTGATGGTTACAGAGTTTCTGTTTGGGTTAATAAAGATTTAGAAATAGTATTTGTTGTGCTACATTATGAATGTAATTAATGCCACTAAATTATACACTTAAAAGTCATTTTAAAAAGAGGCCAGGTGGCTCAAGCCTGTAATCTTAGCCCTCTGGGAGGTCAATACAGGTGGATCACTTGAACTCACAAGTTCTAGACCAGCATGAGCAAGGGCAAGATACTGTCTCTAAAAAATAGCCAGGTGTCATGAAGGGTGCCTATAACTATTCGAGAAGCTGAGGCAGGAGAATCACTTGAACCCAAGAGTTTGAGGCTGCTATGAGCTATGATACCAAGGCACTACACCAAGGGTGACAAAGTGAGACACTGTCTCAAAAAAAAAAAAAAGCATTTAAAAGGAAAATTCTGTTACAACACACATTAAAAAACCTATTTATCACAAGTTGTTAAAAAATTAAGTGTAATATACCAAAAACTATTGAAATATATAGCACAAATGGGTGAATTGTATGTTATACAACTTGTAACCCAACAAAGCTATATTTTTTTAAAAAGTAGTGGCTCAAAGGCCAGGCACAGTGGCACACTCCTGTAATCCCAGCACTCTGGGAAGCCTAGGCAGGTGACTGGCTTGAGTTCATGAATTCGAGACCAGACTAAGCAAAAGTAAGACCATGTCTCTACTAAAAATAGAAAAACTGAAGCAAGAGGATCACTTGAGCCCAAGTTGGAGGTTGCTGTGAGCTATGACATCACAACACTCTACCCAGGGCGAAAGCTTAACACTCTGTCTCAAAAAAAAAAAAAAAAAAGGAAAGTAGTGGCTTGAAGGCCACAGTGGCACACTCCTGTACTCTGGGAGGCCAAGGTGGGTGGATGGCTTGAGTTCACAAGTTCAAGACCAGCCTGAGCAAAAGCGAGACCCCATCTCTGAAAAACTAGCTGGGCATTGTGGCAGGCCCTATAGTCCCAGCTTCTCGGAAGGCTGAGGCAAGAGGATCGCTGGAACCCAAGAGTTTCAGGTTGCTGAGGTTGCTGCAAGCTATGACACCATGGCACTCTATCAGGGACAGAAAAGTAAGACTGTCTCAAAAATTAAAAAAGAAGTGGTTCACATTTAGTGAACAATTTCTGTACATCAGGCACACTGGGCATTCCATGTTTTAAAATGTCACAAAAACCTATGGGGTGCATACATTTCTTAATCTCACTTCAAAGAGGGAAACTGAAACTTAGAGGTTAGGAAATTTGCCCAACTCCAATGAGTTAGAAGGGGGCAGGGATTCAATACCACATTTCAGAGACCCTCTAGTTACCCACTCTGCAATACTAAATCCCAGTCTGACAGGGCTATACTCGTAAAATGAACTCAATAGAGGCCAATTACCTAAGTGAAGGAGACAAACATGCTGTAGGAAAGTAACAAAAATTATTATCTTTTTTTTGAGACAGAGTCTCACTATGTCACCCTCAGTAGAATGCCGTGGTGTCACAGCTCACAGCAACCTCCAACTCTTAGGCTTAAGTGATTCTCTTGCCCCAGCCTCCCAAGTAGCTGGGACTACAGGCACCCACCACAATGCCAGGCTATTTTTTGTTGTTGTTGTTGCAGTTGTCATTGTTGTTTAGCTGGCCTGGGCTGGATTCAAACCCGTCAGCCTTGGTGCATGTGACTGGCACTATAACCATTATGCTACCGGCACCAAGCCAAAAAAAATTATTTGTAAGCATGTGGTATACAGTCAGAATATTCCATCAAAGAATGACTTATGACCTTTAAAATTTCACAACTTTCCGATAGTTTAATCTTAACACAACTGTGAATCAGACATTAACACTAGCTTGTACATTTAAGTGTGTTCGTAGAGAAGTATAACCTTGCCCAAATTTCTGCAAGAAGCTGGGAAAGCACAACATTTACTAAGTAGTCTCTCTCTCTCTCAACCAAATCCTCTTTTGTCTGAAAGCCTGCAGGAACATAAGATCCTAAACAACAAAAATAAAACTAAATCTAACAAAGTTCTATAAGGAAAAATGTTACAATTGCCCAAAGATACCAGTACCCATCCTGTAATTAGCTATCTAATTAAGTGCTAGTTTTGGAGACAAGGGTCAGAGTCGACTTTTATTAACTTAACCAAAATGATAACATGTCATTAGTTACTTTGCAACACTGCCAATCCTACTGTCACTTGCCAGTTCTTGACATCTTTCCCTACAATTCTCACAGGTTTGGTGATGGCTGACACATTTAAATCATTCACACTGGTAGCATCATTATTCAACAGAAACTAACAAACCTAGGGCACAACCCAGAGTTCAGGCGCATCAGTCTACTTAACTCCTTCACTTAGATCAGCTACTCTGACCTTCACAAGCAAACCTGGAATATTCAAAAATATATAATTACCCTCACAATCTATGTACCCTATAATACAAGGCCCTTTCTTTTTATTTAAAAAAAAAAAAGCACTACGCGAACTAAATCCATTAGCATAATAACCATTCTAAAATAAACAGAAAAACATATATTTATAGGACCAATAGGAATCTAAAGCGTGAATGCAAGGAAACATCCCTCTCCTTCCGCATTCGCCCAACCGGCAAAGAACCCACCAGACCACTCCCCCATCTCCAGGTTCTACTGCTCTGCAGGCCAGGTTCGGAGCTCTTGAGCCCCACGGTCGGCTGGAGCCCACTCGCGTCTCTCCGGGTCTGAAGGCTAAGCACAAGAGCTCCCTGCTTAGCGATGCTTCGAAACTGGATAAGAAGCAGGGGAAAAGAAAGAAGAGCCCGTCTGCAGCTCCGCAGACTAGAAGCACTGAGCCGCAACCACGCACCAGTCCCCAGTCCCACAGCTGGCCTCTCGGCTGCGGGACCGGTAATTCTACCGTCGCGCCGGGCTCCACCCCGGGCCCGCGACGGTTCCGGGGCGTTCCTGCCGCGGGCCGCACCTCCCTCACCGCACCGCTTGGCTCACTTCTTCCGGAGCGAGGCCGCGGCCGCCTCGCAACACAGAAGCCACAGCTTCCAGGCCGCACGAGCCCACGACGTCCAGAGTAGCCCTGTCCGCTGGCTCTTTCTCGCAGGCCCTGGCACACCCCCTCTCAAGCCCCGGGCCCTTACCGAGGCCGCGCAGCCCCCAAGGCCCGCTCCTCCTTCTTCTCAGCAGCCACCACCGACCCAACGCCGCGGAAACCGGAACTTCCTCCGCGCGATGCCACAGCTTCCACAAAGGCGCCGCGCCACCGCCTTCAGCGCTCGGCCCGCCGGGAGATGAAGTACAGCGGTCGGTCCCGCCGACTTCACTCCCGCCGTGCCCCGCGCGCTGGGGACTTGCCTACGAGGGCGAGGCACGCTGCTGTCGCTATCCAATAGGAGGGCGCGCTTCTCCTACTGGCTTCGCGGGGACGGCTGGGGTTGTGGTTTGGCCTCTGCCCTGCAGCAGCTTGCTTATCCTTTTGCTCTTTTCTTGGAGTTGAGTACACTTTGTTGGCGGCCTGGCTTTCTGGAGATTTGCTCCCTGTGTCACGAGCTGAGCTATACAGCCCGGCCGGCCTAGCTCGAGGCCTCCTTTATTGTCCGTTAGTGTGAGGGAAATGGAAGGGACATTTTCTGGCCAAAGCTTAAACCATCTGGGGAATGGGCTACTGGCCTTGCTAAAGGCCTTGGCCCCTGGCCCTCACAGGCTGGGGAGTGTAGCCCTTCTTCTTGAGATCTGGGGATTGGTGCAAAAGAAGCACGTGGGGCCTACCGCCATGGTTCACGCCTGTCATCCTAGCATTCTGGGGAGGCTGAGGCGGGTGGATTCCTTGAGCTTAGGAATTGGAGACCAGCCTGAACAAGAGCTAAACCCCATCTCTACTAAAAATTAAAAAAACTAGCTGGCCCTAGTGGACGCGCCTGTAGTCCCAGCTACTCGGGAGGCTGGGGAAAGAGAAGAACCCAAAAGTTTGAGATGGCTGTGAGCTGTGGTGATGCCATGGCACTCTACTCAGGGTGACAAAGTAAGATTCTGTCTCCAAGGGAAAAAAGGGGAGAGAGACAAAAATAGAGAAGCTCTTGGATTCAGAAACCATTTCACGGGCGGCGCCTGTGGCTCAGTGAGTAGAGTGCCAGCCCCATACACCGAGGGTGGTTGGAACCCGGCCCGGCCAAATTGCAACAAAAAAATAGCCGGTGTTGTGGCAGGCGCCTGTAGTCCCAGCTACTTGGAAGGCTGAGGCAAGAGAATCTTCTAAGCCCAAAAGCTAGAGGTTGCTGTGAGCTGTGATGCCACAGCACTCTACTGAGGGCAACAAAGTGAGACTCTTGTCTCTTAAAAAAAAAATAAATAGGGGTGGCGCCTGTGGCTCAAGGAGTAGGACAGCGATCCCATATACCCAGGGTGGCAAGTTCAAGCCCAGCCCCGGCCAAAAAACTGCAAAATAAATACTTAAGTATGCCATGGAAGCTCTTTTTACCTTGTGATAGGTTTCTAAGTTAAGCATCCTCAGCTCAAAAATACCAGGCAGATATTACCTGTTAAGGGTTGGTTGCCTGACATATAATGAAAAATCCATCCAGATTCCACAGGGCCTTGCCAACTTTTGGGCAATAAGTAAGACTTGTGCAAGGTCACAGAGGAACTGGAAGGAAACTATAAATCGGGGTCGGGCCTGCAGCTTAGTGAATAGAGCACCAGCCCCATATACCGAGGGTGGCGGGTTCAAACCTGACCCTGGCCAAACTGCAACAAAAAAATAGCTGGGCATTGTG